CTAGAACTGAAGGGTACATAAAAGGGGTACTCACTGACTATCATGAAAATGGGGTGAATATGTTGCAATATGATGATGATACTATATTCCTGATTCAAGATGATGAAGATTCTGCTAGAAATCCTAAATTCATTTTAACTGCCTTTAAACAAATGTCTGGATTGACAATTAACTTCCACAAAAGTGAAATTTATCTATTTGGGGAAGCTGGAGAAAGAAAAAATTATATTAGGAAATTTTCACATGTATCCTGGGGGAACCCCCTCTGAAATATCTTGGCCTACCTATTTCTAATAAGAGAATTAGGAACAGTATGTGGAAGAATGTGACTGAGAAGATCGAAAAAAGATATGTCTGTTGGCAAGGTAGGCTACTAAATATTGCTGGTAGAGTCACACTAGTCCAATCTTGCCTTTCAACTATTCCCATATACATGATGTCCTTCTATCTTCTTCCAGCTGGAGTTAAGAAGAAGGTAGATTTCTATAGAGCTAGGATGGTATGGCAAGCTGAGGAAGACAATAAGAAATATCATTTGGTCAGATGGAAAACATGTTGTCTCCCAAAACAGCAAGGGGGGCTGGGGATTGCTAACCTAGAAATGTTTAACATTTCTCTTCTGGCCAAGTGGTTGTGGAAATTGGAAAATGGAGAAGGTTTTTGGCAGAATATTATTAGAGAAAAGTATGTTAAGAACAAATGTCTTTCTGGGATAGAACATAGGAATGGAGACTCTCAGTTCTGGTCTAGTCTCATTAAAATCAAAAAATATTTTTATCCTCATGTGAAAAAAGGCTTGGGGATGGTAAAAACACCAGGTTCTGGGAAGATTGGTGGGTTGGAGAGAAGCCATTAAAAGGTGCTTATCCCTCACTCTTCTTCATCAGTAATGACCATGAGATCTCTATAAGAGATGCCATTGATAAAGGATGGGATCTTTTTACCTTTACATCGTGTTTGGTTGGGGGTAATTAGAGCCAGGGAATGGGAATTGAAGGGGTGTGAGACTTCAAATCTATTGTTTGGTTGGAGGGATTGGGAATTCACAAGGGAAGAGACATGGGACTTGAGACTCCAACTCCCACTGTTTTATTAACAGGGGATGGTGGGAGTTGCGAGGGAATTGTTTAAGTGAGTCAATCTTAACTGTTCATCATAACTTTCCTTGTCTAGTCTCATGTCAATTCCCATGAATCAAACAAGGGAGTATAATTTCTCCTCAAATTCTCACACATAACTCCTATCACGCACCAAATAGAGGATGGGGAATAAAACGACTTATCCCATGTCTAATCGCGACCCAACTCCCTACTCTAAACTCCCATTTCTCTTCCCAAATATTGCCAAATACGATGTTAGAAGATCTTTAATTGGGAATACTGAACAACTATGGGAAAGCCTCAAAGGGAGGTGTGAGGAAGTGTTGATGTATGGAGGGAGAGACAAACCTATGTGGATGCTTTCTGCTGACAGAAAATTTTCTGTTAAATCTCTATATCTACAATTCTTTAAAACTGACATGGGGTTCCCAAAAAAATTATGTGGAAAACAAAGGTTCCAGCAAAAATCAAGTTCTTCTTATGGTTGCTTGTTAAAAAAAGCATTCTTACTAGAGATAATTTACTGAGGAGGGGTTGGAAAGGTGACAAACATTGTATACTGTGTGGCAAAGATGAAATTATTGATCACCTTTTCTTTTCCTGTTCAGTTGCTAGACTAATATGGAATTTGGTAGGGTGTGCTCTTGATTTAAAACAAATCCCCAGGGATTTGAATGATTGTTTTGGGAGCTGGCTTAGTAAATTCCAAACAAATAACAAAAGGTTAATCCTGGTTGGTACCTCTGCCTTACTTTGGGCAATTTGGAAATGCAGGAATGACATTATTTTTGACAAAAAGAAGATAAACGACCGAATGGAGATAGTGAAAATGATTTGTAATTGGATTTCTGATTGGGTTGTTTTGCAGAAAAATGACCCAGAGGAAAAAACACTGATGTTGGGGGCAAGACTCATAGAGTAAGTTGCAAGTGAAATTTACAGGGCGGCTCACGGGTGGCGCTTCGGAGTGCTACGACTGCAGGAGTGAAGATGTGCTTTTGGGTGGAGGGAAAAGAAGAATTTCTGTTCACCTTCCCTTAGCTTATTCACTGTTCGATACTGCTTTTGAGTTGTAATAGCCTAGACTTTCGTGTTGCCTCTAGTTTCTTCAGTAGTTTCCTGTTCTTATTCCTGCTCAGTCCTTAGATGTTGCTGAACTTGTAAAAAACTTGGTTCGCTACTGTTGTTTCGTTGGTCGCGGTGGTTTCTTTAATAGAAATTGGAGGGGAAACCCTCATTCGCTCAAAAAAATTGTACATCAGGGTATTGTATTCTCATAAAAAATAGGGTGTTGTACATCAATAGGCATCGTCTGATGGATAGCAAGAGGATGGGGAATATTACATCAAGAGCCATCATATGATGGCTAGCAAGCGGATGGGGATATGACATCAAGAGACAATGCTAGCAAGCATGTGGGGGATATCGCCTGTGCATATATAGCAAAGAGGTATTGTACATTGAAAACCAACGTCCAGTGGCTAGCAACAAGCTAGGGCAATCGCGTGTGCGTATGAAGCAACGGGGACGTTGGCTAGCAACCAACGACTAGGGTGGGGATATCGCACTGCACCAACGGGGTATTGAACATCAGGAGGCAACGTACGGTGGTGAGTAGCCGACCGGCTGCATGGAGCTATCACATACGCGTGTATTGTACATACGCGGCATCGGGCTCATGTGTATTGAGAGAGGCAGTAGTTGGTGGCACTCTCAAACAGGGTCTTCAATTATCGCGTACGATCGGCAGCATCAGCATCGGGCTCATGTGTATTGAGATTTGGGAGAGAGGCTGTAACGTCCAGTCGCACTCACATACGTACTAGGCGCACATCTCTCGAAATCGATCGATCAGTACCTACTCGATTGCGCATATGAGGGCCTCCAACTACCACGCATGATCGCAACGAGGTTTCTACTCGTGCATACAAGCTCTTCAACTATCACACACAAGTACATCGATTGTTTGAGCTATGTAATGTGAAGTCTTGCACAACAGATTGAGCACGATCGCACAAACTACCTAGCATCTCGCTCGCCCGACCACCCATCGTATACCGAGCAAAGCAGAACTCACCCTAGAAATCATCAAAGCATTATCATCCTTAGTTCTATCTTGATTTTTTTTGTCATTGAAGGCCCAAAGTACGTCATCCAAGTGGGCGGTTGGTCCGTCCATGACAATTTTTCCTATTTTATGTCATAATTATTTGTCATGAAAGTATTTCGTCAACACATTCATGACAAATACATGGTTTCACACTTTTTATCCTAAAATTGCGCCTATAATATGATAAAATATTTCGTTTAGCCCAAAACATTATGGATGTGTCTTTTTGTAATAGTGAATGCTCTATTTTTACTTCCTCCATTCACTATTATTAGGCGTTTTGAATATTTCAATATAGACTAAACATATTGGCTGAAATGAGTGAACAAACATAGTAAAACATGTCTATGTACATCCGATTTAGAAAAAAAAAGTTAGAACATCTTATAATAGTGTAGGGAGGGAGTACTTTTTCTATCTATTCATCTTCATCATAACAGTACAACAAATGTAGACCACCTAGCCACAACTACAAACACTAGAGCGAACCAATAGCGATCATAGGATGGACTATTAATTAACTACATATGCAACAATTAATCAATACACAATTGTAATCTGTCCAATTGTAATCATAGGGTGTATCTATTCATCTTCAATCATGGCTGCATTCTAGATAGCGATCTTCAATCATGGCTGCATTCTGGATAGCGATCATAGGGTGGACTATTAATTAACTACATATGCAACAATTAATCAATACACAATTGTAACCTGTCTAATTGTATGCTTGCCACAACTATAATTTGCTGTGATTTCTATCAATCCAATTTTAGTACATCCCGCAAAAATAAAATCCAATTTTAGTACTCCCTCTGTTCACTTTTAGGTCTCCTTTAGTTTGGAGGAATTTCATAGGAATTTTAGAAGATAGAATTTTGATAGGATTTTTTTCCTTTAGAGCCCTTTGGTTCATAGGAATAGATTCCTATTCCTACGTAGGATTGGTTCCTATCCTCCATATTTCATAAGAAAATAAAAATGAACCTACACTCAATGAAAAAATTTCTTTGGTATCAACTAAATAACATCTTGTTTCCTATTCCTACTCATAGGATTTGAGATACATGTCATCTCATTTCCTACAAAATTCCTATTCCTATGATAATCCTATCCTATGAACCAAAAGAGGCCTTATAAGGCCTTGTAGACATTTCAAACAACATGCAAAACAGATCAATTTCAGTTGTCTAAAACGACTTATAAAAATGAACAGAGGGAGTACGATAGATTAAATCACCTTTAGATCATTTTCCTAGGCAGTACCGTTTCAAGTATCATAAACTGGGCAGTACCGTTTCAAGTACCGTATAAACTAAATCGGACATGAACTGCCATATGCAGAGCAATACCGATAATTGGCTTGCTATTGAGTTGTGGCATCGCTCCTTCCTGTGCTACAGTCAAATGGTACCACGAGAGAAGCAAACAACAATGGTCAACGAGAGAAGCAAACAACAATGGTCAACGAGAGAAGCAAACAACAATGCTCGAATAAAATTCCAACTCTAACCAAGGAAACCAACGGAACGCTGACAGATTGTACGACTCCAAACACAACCATTCACTTTGCATGAACAGTCACATGGTACTAAGCATAAACGTAACTGAAGTTGCCAATGCATAACGTCTGAACCAACAAAGCAGTATCCCCACGTGATTAGCCTAAGACCAGCACGTCAGGATGTGGCGAAGTAGTCGCATCAAGTCAGATTGGAACTAGAGTCCTTCGACCATCCGCCATGCTCCTGGATGATATGTGTGCATGAACTATGACTTCATCTTCTGCTCTAACTGCTTATCCTCTGAAAGAAATAGAGGTATCCCATGTCCTTGGGCAGGTCGACCGATGCAGCAACCTTATTGTCGTTGAAGATCGTCCACCTCCCATCTTTGAGGATATGGGCGACATAGTGCCCACAGTGTGTAGAGGTTCCCATGTGGCTCACAAATGCCATCAGCTTGTATCCTAGAAAAAGCATAAATATATGTTAACTGAGCTTCAGGAGTAATGTGATCGACTAAGTTATGAAAAATATTGAAGCCAATGTGTTCACACACTTCTATTAAGATTAAGACGGGCCAGTTTGGGAGATGAAAGTCACCAAGTCTTATACAGATATACTTTTGGGCGTGTACAGATTGAAACTTCATTGAACAAGTATGAAAAACCGACGAACAACAGCTCTTGCAGAATTAGCTCATCCAAGCACCACCACAAACAGGCGTATTTCTTAGGGGAGGGAGAAACTGTTCACTAAGTACCCTATTTAAAACTATTGCACAATAATAATTTGCCAGAGATGGGGAGGCGTGGTGGGGACACAGGCAAACAATAGTTATTTACTTGCAGCAATGACATTAGGTTGTAACCCAGTACTGTTAATCAATTGCATCAGATCATGCGCAAAATAAAGGCAGGCACGAGTGTTTGAGAAACTTACTGCCACTTCCATCTGATATGTTCGAGTCGTCATCTTTTACATTGTTTGTTGAAGAATCAGCAGATACAGAACTAGATGCTTCAGGGTGGCTGAAAACCCACTCCGTGGCTCTCTCAATATTTCCACCCTAATAATACACAACACAGAAAGAGTATCAAGGACATGGCCAAGTTAATTGGCAACACTAGAGAGGAAAATGAAAGGATGATACAGAAATAGGCAAGCGTCAACTTTACAAAAGAAGGCCAATATTGCTGTCTAATATTTTCATACAAATAATAATTAAAAAACATAATCATCCATTCAAAGGAAGTAATCATAAAAGAGATTCTTACAGAAGCTTTCAAGGCCATTCGAGAAACATCTTCTGGAAAGCCAAAGGAAACAAGGGTTTGAAGACTTGCTTCATCAATAGTGTCTTCTGCAGGCATTGGATCTTGAGATATCGGCTCATTAATATCTGCATAAGTAGACAACAGTTTCAACTATCACAGCTAGAACTCATGCATTAATCATTTCATAATAATGAAAAAAAAGCATTTAACAATGTAACCCATTGCATCTGCATGCCAACCTGGATCCCCCGTGTGTGAGAGGAGCCAATCCATTGCCTCCTCAATTCCTGCATTTGATGTATTAATAGCAGCTTTCTGACAGGCAAAGTAATTGAACCCCGTGTTTGCAAGCTGGGATACAATATCCTCGTCGGCAACAGGACGAGCAGGTTCAGCTTTGTTGCCACAAGAAGCTGGAAGATGGTATTGCCAAGTGATCAAAGAAGGGGGTAATAGAGAACACATTCAGAAGGAAAAAAATACTAACAGCGGACAAACAAACCTCCTTCAGGCAGTAGCTCTTCCCCAGGCTGTACACCATTGCTGCGCATGTGCGATATATCGATTATATCCGGCACATCAATATAAACATCTGAAAGGGAAATAAAATGTCAAGGCTCAAGACATCCAAATATGGACTTATTAAATCATCTAAACCAAATGAAAAAATTGTACAGATCAGGGATACGAGCACCCCAAAACCATCACTTATTCCTAAATTTCAGGCAAGCCATTGAGAACTTACTCAAATCGAGTAACATATAACACCTACCAATTCGAAATTATCACAAGAGTAGGAAATATTACCAAGTTTCTTTGGCACCCATCCTTCTCCCATTACAAACTTACGCATCTGAAGCACCAGGTAATCAGGAAAAGTTTTAAGGCCAGTAGTCCTTCAATGAAATGTATACTCGTTATTTCAAGTAATCATAATAAATGAAAAATATTTCAGCAAAAGAAATATCCCAGTTCTTAACAATTACTTGACAGAAATATCAAATAATTATATAATTATAAACATGTAAACTGCATGACAAATACTCCATTAATAAGAATATAAAGAGTACCGCAAATTCAACTTAATTGGCTGTATCTGTCACTACGGTGGGGATTATGACAATGATAATCTCATTTGGCCCAAACAGCTTCATCCTATTTTAGTGTTTGTTCGACCCGCTTTTGATACTTCTGAGGCAAATTTTCTAAAACAGATAAATAAGCACAGTTTGGCAACCGCTAACTGAGCCCAAGTGTTCCCAAAAAAAGACTGGCCTTTTCCATCAGGATATCAATAAAATATATTAACCGCGCACGCATGGACAATGGGATAAGAAAGAACACCAACAGAATTAAGTGCTGCAGTTTGTGCACGTGCATGAGAACTTCGATAAGATGTTGTTGGCAATTACAGATTATAGATTTCATCCATGTGCCAGAACCATGAGTTGGTTGCAAGATTTTTATGGGTTTCAGCTCTAGCCTACCCCAACTTGTTTGGTACTAAAGACTTTGCTGTTGTTGTTGTTGTTGTAAAGATTATAGATTTCAGGATGTGCATACTTAATTGCTGTCGTCTTTGAATTTAATGCAGTGCTGTAAAACTCAGGCACTTCCTCTCCGCCTGAAAAACTTGCTAAGCATGCCTCCAGTGGGACTCTTGGCCTCACGATTTCCTCCTTAGACCTGCCATGGAATGATGGAAACAAAGTGATGCAGAAGAATAAGACATAAATACTTACTATGCAGTTGAGACTGCAGGAAATATGAGTGACTTACACTTCCTTTCCATCCAAGTCCATTGCTGCTTTCTTCTCATGGAACGCTTCTAGCTGCTCTGCACGCCCCACAAATGTCAAGGTTCTATAGTACATTAGATTATATACAAGAAACAAAAGAACAACAACTTTTCAAAGCCACCTTTGTTAGTCGCTTCATGCAATGGTATGCTCAAAGTAAGGAAGTTGTCACAATGTTGATTATAAGAAACTTTCCCAGAGGGGCACTGAACCCGCTCCTCGATGATGAACTTGAAGCCGGTACAAGGATTCAACTCATGGTTTCCAGGGTTTGCCTGATCAACTTTGTCAATAAGATGATGGAAGAACTCAAGGGCATCCTGGAAAGAATAATAAATAATATAATGAAAGTTAAGAACCTAGTTATACTCAAAACTATGGAGGAAAAAAATTATTTTCTCTACGCCTGAGCTCTTGGCATGCTAGGTTATCCTGATCCCACCCACCCACCCCACCCCCCCCCACACACACACACGCACACAACACAAGCACTTCAGAGAGTCCGCTATTTGGTGGAATATTATGCATAATTATATAAGAAAAAATAAAAGGTAAAGTAAAGATAAAAATGTCACAAAATAGACAAGGAAATTAAAAGTAGAAGGATACTTCACTTCACCAAAAGATCAATAATAAGTTAAAGAAAAGGGAGAAGATGTGTTTGGTCAATATAGGCATAAAAAGGTTTACCTGTTGCCTCATACTGGAAAATTCAGGATGACTTGCTGCAATTACTGACTTGAGCATACGGGGGCGTATTCCTTCTTGTCCCTGTAAATTAACCATAGAACACTAGTTGTATCAACACAAAAGTAGGTTCATGGTATTTGTAAAGCTCTGGCACTAAATAACCATAACAGTTCAGTACAGCTTATAGCGCAGTACAGATCAGCAACCCAGATCGTAAGACTAACACAAAAGTATGATCATACTGGGTGGTTGGGTACTCCCAACACTTTGTATTGCTTAAAGAAAGGGTAAAAAAGTACTCCCTCCATCCCATATGTAGGACGTTTTTGCAAGCTAAAACAGCTTGCAAAAACGTCTTATATTATGGGATGGAGTAGTAGTAGAGTACACAGTTTCACTACGGTGGAGAAAAACATATTTGGGAATTACAAAAGGAACTAATAAACCTGCAATCGTATATTTGTATAAGATAGGACAACAGGATATTTGTCCCTAGGAAGCTCCACCCAATTTAATATGGAACAAAGATAACGCATGACCATTGCTATGCCTATGCAACACTTTCTCAGTTGATGATGTGCTCATCAAGAAGCTCAGAGTAGCACAGTTAAAAAGAGCTCAAAGCTCCATTCCTTTCATTAAATGTGATTCATAACAAAGAGATTGGCGGATGTTAATTAACGTGCAATTCCAGATAATTTATCCAGACTAACCAATGTAACATGTCAATATGGTTTGCCTATCACTCTCCGTTCAAATAAAATCACCACTCACATACAGACCTACTACGTGAGAAATCTAAGAGAGCACCACCCATGCATCCTCAGCCCACAGTCCACATGAATACGAACTGTTATGGGCAGCTATAAACAATAGAAAATCAATATATAACAAAATACTACCTCTTGACTGGGTGCAGAATATTTACCAGAGAGCATACCATGCGCCAACTTTGTCCTAAAAAAGAGAGTGGAGAGGACAAGAACATGGATATTTAGATTAAATTCTTGCACAACAACATAAATCGCTTACCCTTCTAAGTTAAACAAAAAAACAAATATCACGCCAATGATAATTTCTACAAAAAACCAAATATCACGCCAATGATAATTTCTTACAAGTATGCAGTTCTCTTTCTACAGCATGATGCATGATTGATTCAACATTGCTATCAACTTACAATAGTGACTCCTTAACTAACACCACACTCAGGTGAACATGAAGAGTTTTCAAATTGCCAACAAGTGTCAGCAGAAGAAGAAAAAATGGCTAACCAGTAATTCTGTATGATGGTAGCAATCTAACTGTAGGAATATGATGTTTTCAACAAAGGGAATACATGGCCAAACAACTTTTACATTCAAGATTGCATTTAGCATTAAAAGATAACCAAAATGTGAAAACAATTACCTAACAATAGCGGCACATTCAACAAACACACACATAGGTCATCCGTGAAAACTTACATTTGCATGTTTAAGTCCAACGTTGGATCAGCTTTAGAAATTGCAAACGCAGCTTTCAAGCTCTGCTTCTCAAAGTACCTGAAACAATTAAATGAATAAATGGAAGAGCAGATGCTACTTGAGGTGAAAAGAGGGTCCGGGTGCAACAATATATAAGAGGTCACACAATATCAAGAGGAAGTAGAACCAACCGTGATATAAAGGGATGGGTTGAAAACATAACTTGCATTACTGAGGCCATGTAGCAACTGCAAAAGGAGAAAAGATGTGTCTTACTATACGCAAGTTATAAGAAAAGAAAATGATCTCATACAGTCAAACCGTGATACCTATTTCCAAGGTTTACAAGGCCAGTATAGCCAGGCCCATATAAAGGTTCGGCATCTTTGCCACTTTCTTGTATTCTATTCCAATCAAAATTAGTGTTGTGGTCAAGTTCTCTTTCAGCAGTAGTCATCTCAGTCTGCACACAAAGAAAAGAAAATCACGCATCAAGGAACGGCAATAAATGAATTATATACACCGATGGACCACCAGTTGTACCAACTTTTTGTTTGTCTGTAAAATAACCAGACACTGATCACTTGCTTGGCCAATTATAATAATTCCAAGAGCAAGATGAACTGTCGTAGTTAAAAATCAAACCAGGCAATATCCTAACATTTGTTAGAGGATCAATCCCGCAATGCTCTTTGATATAATTCCCTGAATGTTTATAATTCTAATCTGGATTGGCACTTGACATTTAGTACAACAAATCTAGGGACTGTTTACTTGACAGCTGACTGATTTCCCATTTGGTATCAATCAAAATTTTGCACCAAACAAATAATGACACATTGCACTATCAAATTGACTGGTTCTCAATTCGGTATCAATCAAATTTTTGCATCACACAAACGACTCATGGCATTATCAATTAAAACCCATTTTACATGATTTCAGAAGCTCATTAGAGCCTTGCTTTTCAGAGCTTATAAGGCAAGTATAACGTGTTATAAATCCATTACTGTCGAAATGTTAAAACTACTAACATCCGAATATGCACTTGATTGAACTAGCAACAAACAAAAACATACTCCCTCCGTTCCAAAATATAGCGCGCCCACGCTTTTCGAGGTTCAACTTTGACCATAAATTTAACCCACGAGACCGACTGCGGCGGGATAAAAAATTATATAATTAAAAACTTTTTTTGAATACGAATTCATTGGTATAATTTTTTCGCCCGCCGCAGTCGGTCTTGTTGATTAAATTAATGGTCAAAGTTGAAGCACGGAAACCGAGGACGCGCTATATTTTGGAACGGAGGGAGTAAAAGCAAAAAGGGAAAAATGAGAGAAACAGAACAAAAACAGAATTCAACTATACAACCAAAAACCACCATCCACGCCAAAGTCTATTACCCAGAGTTAATAAACAAATAATTAGATACCAAAACCACCTGCTGGAAAGTTCATTAACCAAAATCCAAAAAAAAACTGAAAAGTAACATGCGCGGAAAGAGGAGAATCAGAGAGTCAAAAAACTGATCGACGCCGAAAAGAAAATAATTCGACTGAAAATAACAGTTCTGTAAATCTGCAATCAACAGTCAGATAGTATGTTTGCTGTGAACGAATCAATTTGATTTGAACCAAAGAAGAGTAAATTTCCAAAGAATGTAGAGCTAAATTGTCCCAGATAGGTGCCATTACAAAAAGATGACAACTCACCTTCTGGAGTGAAGAAAAATCAATACCAAAATGCGACAAGTGCTGAGCTAATATTGGATCTTCAACGCTATCATCTTCCGGGTATGAGTAAACGTCTGAGCTGTCACAAAAACAAGGTATGAATAGGTACTTTAATACGGAATAAATAGCAAAAGCAATCTCTCATGCCCGGTTTATCTTAAGGAAAAGGTTGCATCAATAATGCTCTCAAGTATACATAAGAGGGTATGCAGGCTGTAACTTTCTAAAGGCAAGAAATTACAAGGAAATGTATATACTACTAAATAAAGATAACAGGCTATGTGGTACATATATGAACCCTGTATCTAAAGGATAGATCGGAAGGGTTTCAAAGAACAATCTGAAACTATTGGACACCAACTAAAACGATGTATCTTTGCTACCGGTTGGAAAATACTCATTCCAGTGTTTTTTTTTGAACTTTATATGCCTACGAATGCAACTTTAACCATCTTCTTCTCCAACTAAATTTCTATAAAGGTCATAACAGTCATTCCAAAAGCACATTTATGCCAAACCTACTTTATTGTATAATTTTCATACGACTGACCTGGAGATCAAAATTTGTGATTGCATGTTTTGACACGATGACAAATGTATTGTCACCAGAAGATGAGGTATATATAGCAGTAAATAATAAAAATGAGCAAGCCCAAATATGCAAAAGTTTAAGTGTAGCATTACCTGCTCCTTCCAAATCAGCGGTAATTGTTCCAAGCTTCACCGCTAAAGGATATTTAGTCTGCTGGTAGTGTTCAACAGCATGATTATTCCCGCCAGTTCCATCCCAGACCCACCTCCCACAGAGGATCATACCATCAGTTAAATTTAACCAAAGATTCTCAGTTTTGTCACACTTGCTACACTTCCACCCGGTAGGGGGCACAATAACACCATTGTCTAGTTGTTGCAGATCCATAGCATGTGCACTGATTATTTTCTTGTCAGCCACCCAAGAAGCCAGTTGTTGCTTTCTATCAGCACTCTCCGCAAGTATAACTTTATCAACTGCGAGCCTAACCTGCATATTTGTAGTTTGTAGTAGAGTAAAGAACTAAACTAAGTATGCACAGGACAACTTCAATCTTATACAACCAGAAAATTACCTTCTCTGGCAAATCAACTGATGGAAATGGGAGAGACAAAAATTCAGGCAAAATAACGATTTTGTAAGTCACATCGTATTCAGGTTCTTGTTCACCAAAACCTCCCTCCATGCCTATCAATTAGGAAGAAGAAAAATATTAGTGAAGTAATTGCTTGAAATGGCAAAAACTTAAACTGACCAGAAATTGGGAACAGGAGACCCATAGTGTGAGCTCATAACTTTATTCTGAAGATCCAAATATATAGACAAGTCTCGTCACAAAGCTGGCACACACAGTCACCAAAGAATGTGTCGCCAAAACTAACAATCAACCAACAGAGACACTTTACATTACAATCTAAAATAAATTTCTAATGCTTATGCCATTCTACAACCAAAAAAAAAAGCAATCAAATAGCACAAAAGTGCTGCAAGGCAGAGTTCAGCAAAACAGAAACAATATCGAAACACAAGCTTTCTTACACTAAGCTGAGCAGGGTCACCATGCAAATCCAAAATTCACATCACAGGAGAGGTCTTAATCAAACAAAACAAGCCAATGCTAGCACGACCACAGTAAGGCACTTGTAATCATAAGCTGCAACGAAATATCATATCGTGTGTACCTCGCACACTATTCTACACAGTCGAAACCGCTCCAGAATAACACACTGGTGTGAATCCGGAGATAATGTTGTTGTTGTTTCGCCCATCATCATTATTAACAGAGGCAATTGCGTTGTCAATCAAAGCATGGCATTCGCATAGGCCCACAGGCCATGAACGAATAGAAGCAGGAGGCGATACAAACACACGATTCAATTAGCTACAAGGTCTGTCATACCGATGGCGAGCAGGGTTGGCTTCTTCAGCGGGCGATCCGTCTCGTCTGGCTCCGGCTTCCGGCGCTGCACGATGTGGAGGTACACGGGGTTCTCCGACTTCTCGAAGTTCCACGCCACGTGCTCCCTCCCGAACCCCAGGAACGAGTTCATGTCCACGTACAGCCCGCCCTCCGACCTCTGCGACGCGCACAGGCACGGAGATAGGCAATTAGCATCAGACCCTAGCGGCCGCAATCGAGGAGGGGCGTGGAGAGGGAGGGGGCGGGTGGCTTACCGGGGTGTCGAAGGAGACGCAGCACTCGTCCTTGTGGATGCGGTTGGTGGGCTCCGGGATGCGGACCTTGTGGAGGTTCGCGCGGAGGAGATCCATGGCCGCGGGCCGCGGCGGGCGACGGCGGAGCCGGGTTGCGTCTAGGGTTTTGGGGGCGTGGGGGACGGCGAGGCGACGAGATTAGACACGAAATTTGGTTTGGGAGAGGGGAACTTAAGAAGAAGTAGTAGGGGTTAAGTTAAACCGACTCTGCGTTGCGGGCCTGCAATTCTAATTCTGATCTAACGACGTACAGAAACAATACTCTGTTTGTTATTTCAAATTCAACAACATGGCATATATTAGTAAGAGCATCCCAATCAGGTTGAAGACTTTTTAGCTAACATTCTTTTAGGTCTAGCTTATCTGATTTTTGGGATTCTATAATATCTCTGACTTTATCCTTCCCAAATTATAAACGATATGTCTATCATATGAGGAATATAATCATTTTATGTTAAGAAAAAGATCATCCAACAGATAATTAAAAACTTGATGCCCAAAAACGATTATTGGTATGCGGCGGAAGATTCTTGGGCACCGTGGGTGGTGTTGCTTTTGCAGGTGATGTAAAATTAATGCCTAGAAACGACCGCTTGAACATGATTCATTGCATATTTTGAAATTCAAACTCTAAACATTTAAACATTTCAAATAACATAATTATACAGTACTAGGATAGACGGGCATAATACGGAGATACCATTACCATATATCATCACACATCATGATGTCTACAGTACTCATTGAACTTATCATCGTCGTCGAGGTTGATCCCCCGGGTGGTCCGCCAGAGGGACCAACCTCATGGTCATTGCCAGTAGACGGTTTCAGGTCCTCCTCCTCGTAGAAGCCCTCCATGTTGAGCTCGTCGAACATCTCATCAACTTGATGGAATGTTCGTGATTCATCTCCTTGTCTTCCTTATGCATGCACCCATTATCCCTCTTGGTGAATAATTCAAGCTCCGTTGCCACGAGGCCTGGATTGGCCTCGGCGAACTTCACCATGTACAACGCACCCCTCTTCTCAGCCTTTGGTGCGCCTTGGCTGATGGTGTGCCTTTTCCACACGGAAACAATATGTATAACATGGGCAACGGACTACGCCTCCTCGACCGACTCTGCCTTGGGAGAGTTGAGCTCAGCCCGACTTTGGATGTATGCCACCGCATCGTACATGTGTGTGACAAGCTCAGTGGTCTCCAAAGTGATCTCGATGGCGTAGTGGGCCAATTGTCAGCGCTGAACGCTATGGTATGCGTGTGGCGCTTGCGGCAGGGCAGCGTGGCGGAGTTGCACGCAACGGAGCCTGACATGGCAGGAATCCGGCTGAAGCGGCGGCCGAATCCAGCTGTGGAGCGTCGTGATCGATAGATTAGGAGAGCGAGGACACTAGATCCGGTGATGGTGGCTGAATTTGGGCGGTAGTTGTTGCGGGCAAAGGCGGGGATGCAGCGCTAGGTATGTGAAACTGAAAATAGGGGTGGATGTTGCGGCGTGGGGCGCCCGAAATCAGCAGTATTGCCGGCAAGTGACGACGCAAACTAATGACGGGGAAACTTCCGGGGGCAATTGCGGATTTGGTGCGTGCGGCGCTACAAATATGCAGCAGTAGTAGGCAAAATTTTGGATTGTCCAAAAAATTGATCACTATTTACAGATACTTCATTTGCCGAAACACTGTTTGAGGCTTAAAAAAAGCCTTAAACACCTTTTTTTAGGTGCGTCTGTTTTTTCAGCATCGGTTGGAGATGTCTTAATTGTGTCAAATCTTATAAAAAATAAAGTAAACGATACAATAATAAATATAGGTGATTTGAACATATTTTTAGTGATGAATCTAATGGTATTCATTTGAAATATGTGGATCTTATAATATATTGTTATATGAATTGGTCAATGTTACGAAGTTTGACTTAAGATAAAGCTAATATGTAGAGTAAATAAAAACAAGGAAATATTATTACCTGTACTTCCTATAGACAGATTTTTAACTAAAAAATCCACCAAAAAGCCAAAGAAAAACATGGCAAACTGATACACAAGGCATACAAGTTTCCCCAATCCCCGAAAAAAGAAGTGGCTCCCCGATCCAGAAGCTAAAGCCCCCCAACGAACAGTCTATCTACATGTAACCGCCCCGAGATGGCGAGATGACGATCGTACATTACCTCTGACGTAGCTCCACAAGAACCGGATCAATCCCTGCAAAATTGCCCACAGAGCTTGGAACATAACCGGGAGAGCTAGCAGCCTAGCACAATCTATCCAATCACCGATCCAATCTGCTCAAGGCCACTAGCCGTCTACCCCAACGGAGGCGTCACCCTTGGCACACACTCAGAATTCCCTCTCGTCAGGTACTCCCTCGATCACCTCTCCCCCGTACTTCGTTCCTCTCCCGCCGTGTTGTGATTTTTTTTCAGATCTGTCAACCCACCATAGAGTGCGACGGTGTGAGAATTGGGATGGGGTAATGTAGCGTCAAGCGCACCGCGGCCAGAAATATTCCTTCCGTGTAGGTTGTGGTACCGCATCAACAGATCATTTCCCCTTTTCCTAGGCTTTGAAGCATCCACACTAGGATAAGTTTGGCATCCAAGACTGCAGCCGAATCCACCACCACAAATTGCAGAAATCTCACGACAAACCACACCAACAGCTCCTACTGTAAAATCAACTGCCCATGAAAATCACGCGCTATCACGTAGTAACTAGCATTTCCACCTGATCATCGACTAACCCGCATCCATCATTCAGTGCCGCAGCACTTTCGGACCGCAACCATCTCAGAGACCAGAGATGCAACTCAGATACATTTCAGAGACCAGCGATGCATATGCCGGTGTCCAAACTCAGATATATTTAACTGCTGATGTTCTATACAATGCCAAGGCTTATACTTCCACCTACCATATATGTTCAGTTCAGCAGCATGCTGCATGCATAACTAGAGACTGTCATGCTCCTGTCCTCTCCAGCATGTCCCAGAGCTCTAGAGACTGCAGTGTTGGACATGAAACATTTGTAAGTGGACAGACTGAATATCTTGGGAGGAAAATTGAACGATCCTTTCTGTTCTTATAATCAATATTAAAATTATCTTAGGAGGAAATCCAATGATCCTTTCTATTCTTATATGATCATTAAAAAAAGTATCTTACGAGGAAAATCGAATGATACTGTCTATTCTTATAATCATTAAGAATTTAAGATCAAAGGCATTTCACAACAGCGAGACCTGACGATACTTTTCTGCCACATAGTAATGTTGTGCATCCACATACATACAGTCATGCTTGTATCAGAAGGATGAGAATTTCGATCCTAAAAAATGGTCGAGAATTTCCTTGTGGTTTCTATCAAGATATAAAATTATCATAAATGGCAGTGCTAGGGTACATCTGAGCAAGCATAACGTAACAGCCAGATGATCATGTGGTCATGCAACTTCCAGACTGACAAAGAGCTGATGGTAATGGTACTGGATATCCGTTAAGAATATTCTTAAGTACTTGCAAAGAATATCCTTAAGTACTCTCTGGTCTGTAATTCAAACGTTGGCTCTTTTTGGTCGCTCTTTGATCCCGAGAGGTTCGCAACTGGTTGAGGAAGAATAGTTGAGAATTTTCACTTTGACCACTCAATTGGTTAGTTGATTTCAGGTTTCGAGCACAAAGTCAAAGCAATCACTGGTTATAAGTGCTTTCAACACTGTCTCATTCGAAAAGCTACAACTGATCTTGTGCACATGTAGGGTGCTAGAGACATTTTTAACCAAGGAATGAACATCATGTGCTAATGTGAGAGATCAAAAGACTATTTCTTTGTGTATGTAAATAGCATGCGGCCGCTTTCCGCTCTCTTTTTTTTCAAACAGAATTTCCTTTGATGTCAGAACTAAGACCTCTAATGCTCGAGAAAATTTCATTTCCGGTTTTTGTGATATCCATGGTAGGTTAGGTGGATTGAAAGATGGAGGTAGCACACCAGGCTCAAACAATTAGGCAGTCCCGAAGGTGGCAAGGAGGGAAGGAGCCCATTGAGATGATAGGCAAGGTTCGGCAACGACATAAAGGTAGCAATCCAGTTCAAC